GGGCAGCCCCGAACCCACACGCTGGTCCATGCAACCCTCCCCTCCCAGTGAAGGGGAGGGGGCAGCCCCGAACCCACACGCTGGTCCATGCAACCCTCCCCTCCCAGTGAAGGGGAGGGGGCAGCCCCGAACCCACACGCTGGTCCATGCAACCCTCCCCTCCCAGTGAAGGGGAGGGGGCAGCCCCGAACCCACACGCTGGTCCATGCAACCCTCCCCTCCCAGTGAAGGGGAGGGGGCAGCCCCGAACCCACACGCTGGTCCATGCAACCCTCCCCTCCCAGTGAAGGGGAGGGGGCAGCCCCGAACCCACACGCTGGTCCATGCAACCCTCCCCTCCCAGTGAAGGGGAGGGGGCAGCCCCGAACCCACACGCTGGTCCATGCAACCCTCCCCTCCCAGTGAAGGGGAGGGGGCAGCCCCGAACCCACACGCTGGTCCATGCAACCCTCCCCTCCCAGTGAAGGGGAGGGGGCAGCCCCGAACCCACACGCTGGTCCATGCAACCCTCCCCTCCCAGTGAAGGGGAGGGGGCAGCCCCGAACCCACACGCTGGTCCATGCAACCCTCCCCTCCCAGTGAAGGGGAGGGGGCAGCCCCGAACCCACACGCTGGTCCATGCAACCCTCCCCTCCCAGTGAAGGGGAGGGGGCAGCCCCGAACCCACACGCTGGTCCATGCAACCCTCCCCTCCCAGTGAAGGGGAGGGGGCAGCCCCGAACCCACACGCTGGTCCATGCAACCCTCCCCTCCCAGTGAAGGGGAGGGGGCAGCCCCGAACCCACACGCTGGTCCATGCAACCCTCCCCTCCCAGTGAAGGGGAGGGGGCAGCCCCGAACCCACACGCTGGTCCATGCAACCCTCCCCTCCCAGTGAAGGGGAGGGGGCAGCCCCGAACCCACACGCTGGTCCATGCAACCCTCCCCTCCCAGTGAAGGGGAGGGGGCAGCCCCGAACCCACACGCTGGTCCATGCAACCCTCCCCTCCCAGTGAAGGGGAGGGGGCAGCCCCGAACCCACACGCTGGTCCATGCAACCCTCCCCTCCCAGTGAAGGGGAGGGGGCAGCCCCGAACCCACACGCTGGTCCATGCAACCCTCCCCTCCCAGTGAAGGGGAGGGGGCAGCCCCGAACCCACACGCTGGTCCATGCAACCCTCCCCTCCCAGTGAAGGGGAGGGGGCAGCCCCGAACCCACACGCTGGTCCATGCAACCCTCCCCTCCCAGTGAAGGGGAGGGGGCAGCCCCGAACCCACACGCTGGTCCATGCAACCCTCCCCTCCCAGTGAAGGGGAGGGGGCAGCCCCGAACCCACACGCTGGTCCATGCAACCCTCCCCTCCCAGTGAAGGGGAGGGGGCAGCCCCGAACCCACACGCTGGTCCATGCAACCCTCCCCTCCCAGTGAAGGGGAGGGGGCAGCCCCGAACCCACACGCCGGCCCATGCAACCCTCCCCTCCCAGTGAAGGGGAGGGGGCAGCCCCGAACCCACACGCCGGCCTTGTGGCTGAAGCACATCTGAGGTGGAAGTCAGTTCCGGCCACAGAATTTGCTGGATTTTGTGCTCTTGTGGTATTTCCTGCTGTTTGTGGCGCATTGGCCAGGAGTAACATACTGAACTGAGGGTTGCCTTTCCTAGGTTCCCCTGTGAACACTACCCTTGAGTTCTGGGGTTATCTTCCCTGGTGCTCTCGGTCTTTTCTTCCGTAGGGGTTACTCCTGCTCAGCAGTTGCCTTGCTCTTCGGGCCAACTGGGGTTTAGTGGCCTTTGTTTGGCCTTGGGTAGGAAGTTGTGTTGTTGCTGGTTTGGGGCGCGAGGTGCTGCTCAGCACGCCTATCAACACGGCAGCGTTGTGGTTGTACTTTTGCATGTTTTTTTTCTTTTTCTTTTTTGCTTGGAGGAGTGCCTGGTTTGTCTATTAGTCCCCTAAGGTATTTTAGTGGCCCTCCTCTAGGCCCCCCCTGTCCTTGTATGCCTCTCAGGGGTCCAGTTATAGCCCTATTCCCTCTTGTTGACATATATGGGCTCAACCGGCTTTGCAGCACTGTTGCCTGGGCTTCCCATAGGCTGAACCCACTACGAGCCCTGGAAAACCCCGTCGGGGGTTTACGAAGCCATGAATATGTCTTCAAAGTCCCATCTCACCTTGAGCGAGGTTGAAGGTTGTTCGTTGCCCTTGTCTTGGTGACAGTCACCTGTTGTGCTTGTCATACTGCCTGTTGGGTCGGTGACACCTACGACCCAGAGTCTCGCAAGACGTGTTCCCAGCGCATATTTATTTACTCGTTCTTTTATGGAAGTTCTGGGTCAGGCAGTATCTGCATTGCATTGTCGATTTTGGTTGTTGCAACGCACTAGGTTGGTTGCCAGCTCAAATGCCCCGGGGCTGCCCTGTTTTGGTCATTTTGACGCGGGTGTATCACCACTTGTGTGGTGATCAGGTGGTTTTTCCCATGTTGTCCCACCTGCGGTCTTCGTCTTGACGACAGTATGAGGTGTCTTTGCGGTCTTTTTGCCTTTTTCTTCTCTTCGCCACTTCTCTTCGTAGTTTACTTCTATTTCTGTTCCGGTTGTCTTGTCCTTTTTTTTTTCTTGGCTCTTCAGGGCCATCTTGTGCTGAATACTGTCTCCTCGTTTCATGCGGCGCAGGCGGAGCTTCTCCAGCTTGTGATCCGTAAGCTTTCTCATGCTTTGTTTCACCTCCGGCAAGCTTGTGTGCTGCCTGGCCTTGGAGCACACAAGCAAGCCGTCCTGGCCTTGGAGTCCCCCTTTGAACAGGGGGGGGGGGACTCTTTTCTCTCTCCTCCTCAGTTTATGGTGGCCCCTTCGGTTCAAAATTGCTTCCAGAAAGATCTGTTTCTGTTGGCTTTGGCCTCTGGGGGTCAGGTCGGTGAACTGCATGCTCTCCTCCATCGCAGAGGTTTCTTCTCTTTTGTTCCTGGTGGACATTTTGTTCAGTTGCAGCTGTCTCCACTTTTCTGGTGAAGAATGAGACGGTAGGCTTCCAGAGGGATCCGTGGTTTATTGATGCTTAGTTGGTCAGGCTGGGGGTGCATTATGTGTTGTCCGGTTGCGACTTCGTGCTGTTACCTGTGCGCCTCGGGCTATGGGGCCGTGGACGCACTTTGGGCCGATCCAATTTCTTTCCCTATTCCAGGGCTCGGGTCTCTCGGGTCATCCGTAGGATTATCAAGTCTAGCCAGTCTGCGGTCTACCCTCTTGCCCATGACATTCGTAAGTATGCTGCTTTGACTGCCGTGTCTGGCAACTTGTCCTGGGCTAACATTTGGGCACAGTTTTTTTTTTTTTCTTAGAGGTTGAACAGGGTCCTGGCCGCCCGTTATTTAGTAAATGTTCCTGGTCTCGGGCGTTCGTGTATGGTTTGGCTCCCCGGTTGCAGCCAGTTGGCTCGTCCTAGAATTGATTTATGGAGTACAGTGGAACCTCGATTGATGAGTGCCTCAATCTACGAGCATTTTGAATAACGAGCGTGTCACTTGGCAAAAATTTGTCTCGATTGATGAGCTGTCGTTTGATTAACCTTTAAACTGCGCATGGCGTATATATACGCCATGAGTAACATGTCCCACTGTGCGCATGACGTATATATACGCCATATGGTACCAGACACGATTCAAATGTCCCGCGGTGTAAAGGGGTCACCCATATCGTAGCCAGGGCGCTCTTTCTCAGTGACGTCATCGGCGAACATGTCGGCTCAATTACGTCATTGATAACTACAATAGAATTTTATTATTATTTTTCCTGTGCTCAGTGAACACAAATTAACATTTTATGAAGATGAAAAAAAATTTAGAATTTTTTTCTTGCGCACAGGAGTGTAAATCTCCTCGGGACCCCTTAGCAGCTTAAGGGTTAACGAGAAAAGCACATGGTGCTTCCCAGCGTTACCGCTGGTTCTCGCAAATTCTCGGACACCTCCAACGATGCAAATAACTTTTTTTTTTTCCTTTTTTTTTTCCTTAAAGATGCCAATGATGCTGGGATGCAAAGGGGTGACTGCTATAATGTTGCAATGATTTTTGTTTTTTAGACAAAATTAAGAAAAAAAATTGATAAAACAACAAATGCTACATTTTGTAAACAAAAAAAAATAAATTAAAAAAAAATATAAAAAATCATAAAGGTTCATTCAGTGATTGTCAGGTAGGCTGCTCCATCTCCGAAAAAAAAAAATGAAAAAAATATTGAAAGACTTTGAAACTAGACAAATGTCATAAAGGATCGTTCGGTATGTCAGGTAGGCTGCTCCATTATTAATACAAATATGAAAAATACAAAACAAATTGAACAAATTTGAAAACATGGAAAAAATGTCATAATGGAGTATCCTACCTGACGAACACTGAACGAACCTTTATGACATTTCTCCTTTTTTCAAATTTGTTAAATTATTTTTTTTTTATTTTAACAAAATTGGAGCAGGCTACCTGACATACACCGAACAAACCTTTTTCTATAGCAAAAATGAAAAATAAAAAAAAAATTGTACGAATCTGAAAAATGACAATATCATAAAGGTTTGTTCAGTGTATGTCAGGTGGGCTGCTCCATTGTTTAAAAACTCGAATATCATATTGATGTTTTTTGGTGGTAGAATGGATTAATTTTATTTCCATTATTTTAAATTGGGAAATTCGTTTTGAAAGACGAGCATTTCACATGACGAGATAGATGCCGGAATGGATTAAATTGTTTAATCGAGGTTGCACTGTATTTAGTGTTGGCTTTTTATTGAAGAAATAATGGATAAAAAATTACTAAATCTTTAGAACATAACCCTCTTTTTACCCAAATACATAATGTACATTTACAGTATTTAATTTTTTTTAAGATTGCCACAAATTTTCATGACTTATTTCACCAGCACTCCCATTAAGTGTGTCACTAGATGTCCCTTGGGGAAATATCTAGAGTAATGCTGGTTATTAAAGTAAACAATTATAACAATGTCTTTTACAACATTCTCCATTACAGGCTTTGCTGCCAAGAGCCACAAAGATAGACTTGTCCAACAACCAACTTACGTCTTTGCCGTCCAACTTTGCCCAGTTGTTGGGCAACATCACCCAGTTGGAGTTGGGATCCAATAAACTAAAGGAAATACCCGCAAATTTCTACAAGTTGCATAACTTGAAACACCTTGATCTCTACAACAACCAGGTATGTGCATCAAATTATTCTCTTCTCAAAAAAATAGTTACTGTACTGATGAATAACATGGTATAAATAATAGATAAAATAAATTTTTATTCAGGAAAAGTACATACGTAGGTGATTTACAAACATAATGTTGGATTTATAGATAAGAGCTAGTACATACAATACCTAAAACCACTAATACGCATAGCGTTTCTGGCAATGGTATTGTGGTCATGGTACCGTGTACATTTGGGGGTGATCCTGGAACTTGTGGGCTCAAATCCTGGCTGGGGCAACAGAATTCTTGGTGAATTATGGCTTGCATATTTAATGCAGCCTTTGTCTTGTATGTACATACAAGACAATGGCACATCTTCCACGGAAGGTTATGGCGCAGTCTTCCCTTCACGTACACACACACGCGTACATATGTGTGTGTGTGTGTATATACTGTATATATTATGTTATTGTAGTACAGTCTCGGTAATATACAGTATTTGTAGTTGTATTTTTTTAGGTTTTGTTTTTAGCGATGTTAGTGATCGAGGTTTGTATCACTGGAGGTGGATAGTTTGTCTTAACATTGTATGTTATTTTCATACCTGCTCGTATTGGCCTCATTTTGCAAGTGTTAATATTCCAAAACAATTTATGAAAGGTTGCTTTTTTCTTTTCTCCAGCTGACAGATTTGCCTTTATCATTCTGCCAACTGCGGAGCCTCAAGTGGCTGGACTTGAAGGGAAACCCTCTAAATCCTTCCCTGAGAAAGGTAGCCGGAGACTGTCTCAACCAGAAGGAGTGTGAAGCAGCCGCACGCAACGTTATTGCACACTTAAAGAAACTCCAACTTCAAATGGAGGCAGAAAAGCAGGAACAGTTAAAAAAAGAAAAAGGTGAGATTACTATCAGTCTTGGTATTGTCAGGCCGTGTGCAGATGATGAGTCACAATAACGTGGCCGAGGATATGATGACCACACACTAGAAGATGAAGAGATGACGACATTTCAGTCCGTCCTGGATCATTATCCACTTGTCAATCGACTTGATAATGGTCCAGGACGGACCAAAATGTCGTCATCTCATCATCTGGTTTGTGTCAGGCCATAGTCCTGTCTCTCAGTTTGGCCATGATATCAAAAGCTGGAGAGAGTTGGTGGAAATAATAGCTTGTTCATACTTCAACACTGTTACACTCGGTATGCAAGATTATTTTATAGTGAAATTCCTTATTAAATTTGCCAAGAGGATGTAGTTTATCACCTTGGTTTTTTCCTGGCACATTTTGCTATAATCTTGGGAGATAACTGTATGTGTGTGTTATATTAATGATTGCAATCTTTACAGAAAAGGAAGAAGCTCGAGCTCGAGTTGAAGAGGAAAAGCAAGCCAAAAAGAGAGCAGAAAAAAAAGCTGCCAAAGAAAAAAGGAAAGCAGAGCAGCGGGCTTTGCAAGAATCTCAGAAGACGGCAGCAAATGGAACAGCCGGCATGGATAAACAGTACAGTGCTATGCCGAAGCCTTCTCCGCTTGCACTCAAACATAAGAAAACTAAATCAGGTGTGTTTCACAGAGTAATGCTGACCAAGTTATTTAAAAATTCATCAATTTTTAATGACAGTTGTTGATCTGTGCCCCAATAGCAAGTTATTTTTCTAGGTCTAGAGTGCTGAATGTTTAGTTTTAATTGGTACAAGCGGATCTCCACTCGAGTTTTCTCGCGCCTTACCCGGGTTGTTGTGGCCCATCTGTGTCTGTCGTCTCTCTTTGCTGGAGTTTTGTGACCATTGCTCACTAGGCCGGCCAGGGACGATGGGGTCCATCCTTTCGTCAGGCTCACAGCACGGTGCACGAGTTCGTGGCTGTGTGGACGTTATTCTGGAGGATTCGGGTCGCTCGGAGATCGACGATCCGCTCCATTCGGACTGTTCCCTGGTGGTTCATTGCCTGAACCGAGGGGGTTTCATGTGGTTCTTGGCTCTTTGGGGCTGGTCACTTCGGGTGACTTGTCTGCTTAGTTTTCGGGGTTTGGCTCTCCTGGCGGTTCACGTTCAGGGGATGGCCAATGTCCTGGTGGACGGCCTGTCCCAGTTCATTGCCTTGTTCATGGAATGGCCGGTCGACGCCAACTTGTTTAGTTGGCTCTGCCAGACGTTCAGGCCTCCGGAAGTGGATCTCTTCGCGTCATCATGGTTGAGGCGTCTCCCGGTATACGTGGCACCCTTCCCCAACTGCGAAGCCATCGGGGTCGACGCCTTAAGGAACTACTGGGCGAGGTGGAGTTACCTGTACCCCTTTCCCTGTTTCAGCTGTTACTCCAAGTCCTGGCTCACTTGGAGACTTACGAGGGGAGAGTTGTCCTTCCGGCTCCTTGGTGGCCAGCCTTGGTTTCAGGCGCTGATTGCTCGGTGTCCGAGCCCGACGGTCTTCCAGCGGCTCCGCCTCTTTCAACGGATCGGTCCAGCCCGGTACGAGGCTGGTTCAGTCTTCTTCTCGAATTTTCACATGTGGAGTTTCTGACTTGTGACTTTCGTCACTTGTATGGGGCGCAGGTGGCTTCGTTGATGGTGTCCCACCTGAGTGTTTCGTCAGTGCGACAGTATGAAGTTTCCTGGCAGTCCTTCCAGTTTTTCCTATCACTGCGTAGGTGTACTTCGGTCACTGATAGGGTTGTCTTGTCCTTCCTTTCGTGGTTTTTCCAGGACCGTCATCTGATGTCGAATACTGTCGCCTCGTATCGTGCGGCGCTGGCGAAGCAACTCCAGCTTGTGTTCAGTATTGATGTAACTTCTACCCCGTTTCGCAATCTGTCTTGTCCGTTATTTCACCTCCAGCCTGCTCATGCACTATTTGAGCCGTCCTGGTCTTTGGACCGGGTGCTTTTTTTTTTCTCTCTCCTCCTCGGTTTGTAGTGGTTCCTTCAGTAAAAGATTGTTTTTCTAAGGGTCTGTTTTTTTTTTTTTTTTTTTCCTGTTGGCATTGGCCTCTGGGGGTCGGATCGGGGAGCTTCATGCTCTCCTCCAGCGCAGGGGTTTCTGCTCCTTCAGTCCTGGTTGTAGGTTTGTTCGGTTGCAGCCGTCTCCTTCTTTTCTAGCGAAGAATGAGACTGCTACTTTCTGGAGGGGTCTTTGGGTTGTTGATGCTTGGTTGGTCAGGGCGGAGGTGCATCATGTGTTATGTCCGGTTGTGGCTCTGCCGTTATTTGCACGCCACGGTTTCGGTGGCTGGGGATGCGCTTTGGGTTGACCCGGTTTCCCTCCTTCCCTGTTCTAGGACTTGGGTCTCCCAGGTCATCTGCAGGGTTACTAGGTCTAGCCAGCCTGCGGTCTATCCCCGTGGACAACTTTCGTAAGTTTGGCTGCTTTGGCTGCTGTCTTTGGCAACATGTCTTGGGTTTTGCAGGTCGAACAGGGTCCTGGCCGCTCGCTACCTTGTCAATGTCCCTAGACCTGGTAAGGCCTGCTTTGCATTGGGTTGGCGGTTGCAGCCAGTTGTCTAGACTTTGCATTGAGGAGTGAGGACTGATCGCCTCCCGGATAAGTACCTGTGTGTTTCCTTGTCTTTGTGTAGTTAGCTCCGGGGAAGCCGACTGTGCTCCCCCCAGAAAACCACTGTTGAATATAATGAAACGCCATTTTCTGGGTGAGACCCAGAGGCTCCCGGCATCCCTCCCTCCCTTCCTTCCCTCCGGTCGACGGTGTTTTCGCATGTTTTTGACATACAGCCTAAGAACTGCCTGTTGGATCACCGGTGCGAGGGTCTAGGGCTCCCCCTTTCCCCTCCTGGGGAGGGGGGTTTGCGCAGACAAAGACGCGGTAACATGATGACATTATGCTCGTTTGCTAATTTTTGTTTGGGGAGTTCTGTCCACTCGTTTGGCTTTAGGCAGCAATATTTTCACCAGAATAGGGGTTTGTTTTGGGGCGCCTATCTTTGAGTGCCAGACCTGGTTGATGGCAGACATTGAATACTCCCAACCACACAGGGGTTTCTATAGGCCAATGCGCCTAGTGCCTCTCTGAGGGGGCCACGTTCTGGGTCGTGGTCCCTAGTAGGCAAGAACTCCGTGCACTTTGACTGATGCCAGAAAACTAATAGATACATATCTGGCTGGATAGCTCTGGGGATCCTCCGGGTCTCGTCCAGAAAATGGCGTTTCATTACATTCAATGCTGGTTTTTATACACAGGATCTTCAAATCATCTCCAAGGTAACCTCAAGATTGGTTGAACACCTATTTGGCTTTAACTATTGCTTCTAGTGTTTTGACTACCACGCTTGTTAATGATACTGGTCTATAATTTAGAGGTTCATCTCGATTACCATTTTTATAGATTGGTACCATGTTTGCCTTTCCATATATCTGCTAAGATTTCTGTGCTCAAGGATGTCTGGAATATTAATTGGAGTGGAATGGTCAGCTCAGTTGCACATTCTTGCAGCACCCAAGGTGAAACTCCATCAGGTCCAACTGCTTTATTTCTTCCTAGTCCCTTGAGTAATTTTTCCACTTCATATTGAGATACCTCTATTTATTCTATGGCTTGCTCTGGAATTTGTATTGGGTCTGGTTCTATGAAATCCTCATTTTGTATAAACACACTTTGGAGCCGTTCATTTAGTGTTTCACACATTTCTTTTTAATTCTCAGTAGTCCTGTTTCCCATTCTCAATCTCTGGATTTTATCCTTTATGTGCAACTTGCTTTTAATAAATTTATAGAAAAGGCTTGGATCTGTTTCATATTTGTCTGGTATACCTTTCTCAAAGTTCCTTTCTGCCTCTCTCCTCACTGTTGTGTAATTGTTTTCTTGCTTGCTTGTTGTGCTGGTATGTTTGTGGGTTAAGCCTCTTCCTGTATTGAACCCATTTTCTTGTCTTTTCCTCTCTGGCCCTCTCACAATTTCTGTTGAACCAATCCTGTTTTTGGTCCTGCATCTGTTTTGGTATGAATGTTTGTTCCTTCATCATATATTTTACAAAATTTGGCATACATCTCATTTACGTCCTTCCCTAGCAACAAGTCTGTCCAATTACTCATTAATTTTGTTAGTTTACATGTCAACGAGTTTGTTGACATGTATCAACAAACTCGAGCACCGAGGTAAACTTCAAGTACCGAGTTAAATATTAAGAAGAAATTGAGCTTGAGTACAGAAAAATTTGAAAACAGTTTTCTCAATGTGGTTAAATAATAAAACTTATGAACTATCACTATATTCAAAAGTATGGTGTGCATATTAGTGATTCAGTTATGTTCTTGAAACAATAAAAAAAATATTTTTGCCGTTTATATGTAACGTGTGTGCATAGTGTATTAAGTATCTGCATGTTTTGTTCACCATAATGAATCACTAAGCTGGTATGGTTCATTGAAACAGCATAGTAGTTGCCAGCACACCATTCAGCTGACGATGCTACTGCCCTCGCCAACATTTCTCCTTCCACCATACTGTTTGTGCTGTTATTACACTATATCCACACATTATATATACCAGTAAGTATCTACATGTTTTGTTCACCATAACTGTACAACTAGGCGGGTATGGTGTCCATAGCGGCCACTGTACACTGCATGACAAGTCACACAGCAGTCAGCAGATGACACCACCACCTTCCTCTCCAAAATGGCTCCTCCCAGCATACTGTTTGTGCTGTTATTACAATATATGCACACACTATATATAAGTATCTACATTGTGTTCACCATAACAAACCACTAAGTTGGTCTGGAGAGTCCAGTCAATAACAGTGGCTGCTACACAGTCGGCTGACACCACCTCTCCTCCTCAAGATTCCTCCTCCCACCATACTAAGCAGCATTGTGGTGAGAATTAGCGATGTGCAATTATCAGAATGCTGGTCACTTAAATCTTGTAAATGAGTAATTTTCCACAAACTTATTATGTAAAGGAACATGAAGTCATTTCAAGTTTCTTAGATGGACCAAACAATGGCAGTGTGCAGTGGCTAGCACTGTGAACATCTTGAACAGCATTGTGTTCACTGATATCTGAACATTGTGCACAGTCTTTATCACGCTCAGGCTCTTCTGTAATACTATCATGGCTAAATAATAGCAGTTACATATTTTGACACTTTTAGGCGATGTTGTGGTCACAAACTGAACAGCAGTGCTGTTAGCTCATGCCGCATGCACCAGCCTTGGTGGCTCACTCGGTACTGGGGCTTTCACACCCAGGAATGTTGCCCACGATTTTTTTTTTTAAATGGCGTCTGTTCACTAGAGCCCTGAGGAAGCTGATGTGAACCGTGTAGCCGTGGAACTTTTAAATTTTGTGCAGTATTTTAATATGTATATACTGTATATGATGTGTGCCATTCAGCAAGTTAGACCAAAATTGTATATATAAAATTTGTGCTGTTAAAGGGGTAAAATGATCCTTCAACATTTATTACAAAAAAAAAAAAGAATTTTTTGTCTAGGGTAATAATTAAAATTTGTTTAAATAATGATCATTAACAGTGAAGTATTATACTGTACACACCAAAATGAAACAGAATTTTTTAATAGAAACAGGAAAGATGCTGATGTTTTTACACTACAATTCTAGAGTATTCAGTTTCAAATATATAAACAAATGTCTTCTTCACTTGTACTTACATTATGTAGGGTGAAGATTGATTTTTCACTATAAATTAAAAATGTATTTTTAATTTAACTACTGTACTATTACAATGTATTTTTATTTGAAAAAAAAAATTAACAATGTTATTGTATATAAGATGTGTGTCGGGTAATGGAATGTTGACAACATTTCTTATGTTGTTGTGTTTTGAAGAATAGGGATTGCTTTAATTGAGCTAGTGTTGCAATATTAACTTTATTTGAAATAAGATTACAAATTGTATTTTATTGTATAGTATACAATTAAAGCATGTATACCCAATTGTATAATGCAATGTTTTACTTTTCAGGTTTCCTTCATAAGATTAAGCGTGATCCACCAATTATTTTCTGCTCATAAATTAATTACATGTATTATTAATGCATTTAACATGCATGTGTGTGACATTAATTTGTCCAAACTCAACTACAAAATTTTCACAAAGACAAGTATCCAACTATAATTTTGAAAAGAATCAATCGTATCAAAATAGTTAGAAATTTTAGCATCATCGCATCGCCACCATCCATACAGGGTATGAGAACTTTCTTGCATCTCTACAACTTGATTGCGAATCCAGTTTTCACCAATATCCCCATGTCGTATCTCTTCTCAACTTAAAAAACTGCCCTTGTCTACCTTGTCTATTTCTCTTAAGTATCTTGTATGTAGTCATTGTATTCCCTCTGTTTTTTCTAAGTTGAAAAGATTCCATTAACCTATCCTCATAGTCAAGTTCTCCTAAATTCTGGTGCTAGTATAGTTGTACATCTTGCCTGCAGGCACTTGGTGCTGGGACAGTTTTGAGTGCCTGGTTGGAATATCTCCTCATTGGTCTCGGCCCTTTCCCTATCTCTTCCCAGATAACGAGCTGCAGTGAGTGTTGGGTGATACTTGATTGTTCTTCCAGCTGCTACATCAATTGGTTGGGCCGGAGCCTGCTCCACCCTCAATCCATGGGAGGGAAGTACATGACATTCCTCTCTGGGCCCTTGTGCAGATTAGAAGTCCTGGTGTGCTATTTCCATGAGCAAGTGTGATGTTTGTTCATGCTGTCCTGCTCAGTTCCAGTGGACAGGCCAAGCATGCCTTTTGGCTAGCTTATCTCGGCGTCAAGTATTTTCCCTCTGCCTATTGGCTTATTGAAGGTGCAAGGCAAGTTCAGTTTTCCAATCAATGTGCAAAAGTTCCATCTCCTGTTTGTGACATATGATGAGGTTGGATCTTGTTTGGGTTTACCAGGGCAGCCTTTTTTGTCCCATCTGGAGACTGCCATTATTCAGTTTTTCCATCATTAAGTTACCTTCGTTAAGTTCCACCCCTCTTGTTACAAGTTAGAAATCTTATTTGGTCTAATTAATTTAGTTTGTGTGATGTTCAGGGATTTCTTTTTGCCCCCTTTGCCTTTGAGGAATAATTTTCTTTGGTAGTTTATTGTGGCAACTACATGTACTGCTTATTTCAAGCAAGAAATAAGGGAGGAAGGAACTTTGTTTTTAATCTCATGGAGGTCTCCAGCTCCACCTCTTACTTGACAGATGCATCAAATGTGGTCTGGGACTACAATACTGTAGTTATAAACAAAATTATTGGCAACAAAATTTCTGGAAAGGGAAGGAATTATCAGGGGAAAACATTAAGCCATTACAAATATACAGTGGCACCTCGACATACAACTGTCCCACTTACGAATTTTTCGAGTTACGACCCCAATATCGTCGATAAATGTGACTCGACTTACAACCTTTGCCTCAACTAGCGACTTTGTTGATACACATACGGGTCGACCAAGCACACGGTTCCCGGTGACACGGGCGACCCCGCCTCAGTTTACCAGAGCCGCCTGCTTAGTGACTCGTGCTTGTAAAGAATTTCATTGTTTCTTTTTTTGTCTTTTGAACATAAAAGTAATTATGTATATCATGCCATGGGTCCCAAGAAAGTCAGTGGTAAGGTTCAACCTAAGATAATAGTTGAATAGAGGATGTCCCTTCCTTATTAAGAAGATGTGTGAAGTATGGGAAGAACTGCAAAGTTTTGTTGAAAAAACTCACCCGGATAAAGCTGTAGCAGGCCGCGTTGCATTGACCTTTTAAATGACAATGTGATGCCTCACTACAGACAAGTGTTAAAATGTAAGGAAAAAAACAAATGTCTTAAGACAGATTCTTAGTAAGACAAGCAAGCAGTGAGCCACAACCAGGTCCTAGTGGTATGCCTGCAAAATGTAGGAGAGTACCCCAGAGAAGTCATCACTGCCTGATGTTGTAATGGAAGGGGACTCCACTTCCAACACTAACACCTCACCGCCTCAATAAAGGCAAGATATACATACTGTATTGTAGCTAGTACAAAAAGAGTGGTATTCGGTATAAAATGTATTTTTTAGTTAATATATTTGGGGGGGGGGGGGTGTGTGGAACCCATTAATTCGATTTACATTATTTCTTTTGGGAAAATTCCTTTAGTTACAAATTTTCGAGTTGCGACCTGTCTCTGGGAACAGGTTAAATTCATAAGTGCAGGTACCACTGTATAGCAGAATTTAAAAAAAACACTAAATTTTTGGAGTGTGTGATTCTCTTTTGTGATGTCTTTGTGTTCACTATAAATGGAAAGTTTGTACTGCATTTAAAACGACAAACCCTATTAAATAAAATGTCTTGCTTCTAAATGCCCATCCCTCTTTAGTAGTCAAATAGAAAATCAGTTTTACTACTATTCATAAAGTCTATGACACTATGAGCTATTGAGTAAAGGTGCCCTCAGCTACACAAGACGCTTTTATTCATTGTTGTCTACAATTGTTCCCGATTCATTTGGCTACTTATCCTAACTCTGAGATAACAAAAGTAGAGCACTAAGAGTTTGATAAACCAAGTCATCAACCAGGAGGCCTGGTCAGATTGCCATAGGAGCAATTATCTCCAGAACAATAAGTAATATGTAAATAAGATTGAACTGGCTATATTACTTCATGTACAATACTGTTTGGTACAGCATTGCAGTTTTTGTATACTGTTGCTAATCACAGTGTTGTTCATGGTTTCAGTCTACAGTTCTAAACCTTTCCAGGATGGTATTATGTTCTTCAATAATTAATGTTTTATGTAGAAATTTTTGACTTGTTCATTTACCAAAACATGTTAATTAGACAATATATATTATTTGTTTAATCTTAAAAAATATTGACCTTGACTTGATAACTGTGTATTTGTTGTAGGTGGCTGGTCATTGCTGTCATGGGTGAACATGCTACTGTTGCTGACTTTACTGGGTCTGTCTGGAGCTGGACTCTATATTTACACCGACGGTGATCTCACTCCTGATGGCATCACTGCTGCCTTACCGCACATTATTGAAAATGCCAACATTCTCGCAAATCTCACCATTGAAGCTTTCCAACCAGAAAACTTATCACGAACTGGACAAGCAGTGGTAGAAGCTGTATCTGATTCATGGGCTACACTTCAGGAAGTCACTGGAGACCTGAGTATTTACACAAAGCCTGTTATTGAGAATGTAAAACAGGGATGGGTGTGGTTGATAGAAGTCACCTTGTTGATTTACAACTGGATCATCAATAACATAGACTGGGAGTCTGTATTTGCAGCAATTACATCTGCTGGGACTTTCATGTATGAGCAGTGGTTGGTGGTATATGAAGAATTGAGGAAAAATGAGGCGCTAATGTCGGTTATAGCAACAATTCGGACTTACACTGCAGGTGTGGAGGAGTTCCTAGGTGTTATGTGGGGTCTCCTGTGGGAGAGAATGTGCTTTATTGTTGACTATGTACAGGAGGAAGGTCCTGGTGTAGTGGCAACGGTGAAGGAACAAGCTGCTGCGGCACTACACTCTGCTAAGCAGTCTATTGAAGGACTTGTCATGTAAGTCACACTCTCACCTCCCTATTGAAAACATTGCCATTTTGTTTATTAACATCTATCAATGTTGAATATAATATGGGCAAAAATTACCATCAAATTATTTATACCAACTGTGCAAGATTTATTTTCTGGCTTATACCAGAGTGGTTAATGCCCTTTTATGTACAGTATTGTTCACAATTAGAACAGCTTTAATATTTTGGTGTGCGGCTGATCTAATCACATTTATCTTTACCATGTTAAACTTTTTCCATTTTGGATAACATGCATATTAAGACTTTAGTGCCTCCCAAAACTCTCGATGAGAGCAGACTCCCGACAATTCGGAGATTGTTACCGTCTGATTAATGAAAGTATTGAAGCATTGGTTTTCTCTTTACATCGTAATTTTACAAAGTTATTCAATATTTCATTTGTACATTTCTAAGCTCATTTGAAAGCAGCCTGTGATTAAGGTGCTCAGTAAAGAGTAAGATTTGATTTTGTACTGCGGCCTTGACATCTTCTTTGACTTCTCGACTTGTGCTCGAGATCTTGTTTACAAAGAAGAAGGTTTTATCTTATTTTTGTTTATTTTGTCTTTGTATCTGTATATTAAGCAGGGATTAAGTATTGTAATTTTGTTAATGCCATGAACCTGCTGCCCATGATTTAAAAAGATGAAGTTGGTTGTATCTTAGAAAGTTGTAAACAGTGAATCTTGTATACAAGAAATTATTTGATATTTACCTTTTGCATACACATTTTGCAGATGCTCTAAATTTTGTAATTCTTGGTAAATGTTGAGAATTCTTTAGTTTTGAAAATTGCAGAGCTCCATTAAATATTTAATGTAGGAAGGGTAAATATTGTGTAAGGATACTGATGCCTGCGATCTTGACACTGGCAGATTGAGGGCGTCAGCTTGTGTAGTATGTTACTTGTTTCACATTTAATAAATTACATTTCTGTATAGGTTTGTTTTATTCTAACTGTGTACATAGAAAAAAAAGAAAAATGATTACCAAATTGATCGGGTCTTGAAATCACTTACGCATTTCCACACTTCTCTTTCTTCTACAAATATATCTGTAACAAGAGCAGATGCTACAATGTAGAACATAAGTGTTGACCAAACACCATACTAGAAAGTGAAGGGACGACGACGTTTCAGTCTGTCCTGGACCATTCTCAAGTCGATTGTGTGGATGAACTTATGTTCTATAAGTTTGTTGGATGTATGAGTTACCAGCTTATCCTACAAGTAAAGAGGAGCATCCAATATGTGGCAGGAAAGTATTATATTAGTGAACTTTATTACACATAAAACACAAGTAGATGCTGGTAATAAGGAGGCATGTTTAGGAACGTCCTCATTCTTTCCCCTCTTAATTTAGTGGTGTAGCAAGTGACTCCTGTTCCACATTTATAATGGCAGAATCTTTGTGCCCTATTGAATTCTTCAATATTCTTCAATATTGAAGATTATTATTGAACAATATTCTTCAATATTGAAGAATATTCTTCAATATTGAAGAATATTCTTCAATATTGAAGAATACTCTTCAATATTGAATAATATTCTTAAATATTGAAGAATATTAT